CCCAATGCCATGGCAGCCCAGCTGCAGGAGCTGCGACCCTCTGGTCTGGGCAGTGTCCCTCCTGCTCCTCATCCCTGGCATGCCTGGTGGCTCTGCAGTTCCAAAGTGTCACTAATTTCAGAATTCAGCCTTCAACATGTGCTCCTGCTTGTGCACACATGTGCATTCACAAAGCCAGAGACGTGTTTGAGTAAACAAATCCAACCTGCTCTTGCTGCAAACATTCCCAAATGGTCTCTTTCCTGTTCGTGGTCTTTCAGGTGGTCATTCCCCTTCCCAAGTGACTGCCTTGGGCTTCAATGTTATCAATTATTTTTTTAAATTTACTGCTTTAACTGTGCATAAGATTCTTGCTGATTGTCCCTCAGGTTCTTTCTCTGCCTTATCTGTTCCCCAGGATGGCAAATCTAACTCCAGTGAGCTGCTGGATCCAGAATTCAGGAATTGTGCTTATTTTTATAAAAATGGGAAAACTGCATAAGAACCAGATCTGGATGGACATTGAGCAGCTGGCAGTGAGAGGTGTGAGCTAGACAAAATCCTTGCTATAAGTTCGGGCTCCTTAAATTTGAACCACAAACTTTGATGTGGAAGGGAAGACCAGCAGAGGTGGTGGGGAGTGTGTGGATTTCCAGGTCTGTGTGTGCTCACTGAGGGGTTGCTGCCCTGCCTCCAGAGCAGGTGCTCTGCCAGGGAGCAGCTCTGAGCCTGCTGCTTCCCCTGGAACAGAGAGTGAAAAGCAAAAGTGTTGCTGCCTTCCTGACAAACAGTAAAATGTTGCATGTTTAAAAGCAAGATTTCAGTTTGAAAGCATCAAAGCAGAACTGACTTATCTGAAGACCCCTGTTATATTATACTGATAATAATGTTCTTTTTGGACAGACTTGGGAGATGTTTTATTGGCTACTTTAATACCTTCATGAACACAGTGTGTTTCTGGAGCTGCTGCTTTGTCTTGTGTTCAGAAATACTTCATGTGCTGTACTTCTGCTTACTAAAGCTTCAGAGAATTGCTTTTTTAATTCAGGGTATGAACTAATTGTCAAATAAGACATTTGTTTCCATTTATGCAACTTGCAATTTGGTAATAAGCAACAGATGAAAAAGCAGTACCGAAATTCTCTTGTATAAAATTTCTTGTGAGTGCCATCCCTTCATTTCACAGCAACAAGGCCAGTTTTCAGTCCTGTGAGTAGCATTAAAAAGTACAGACGGCAATAAAGAAGAAAGCAAGCAGAAGTAACTGGAGCTCAGTGAAGTGGTGTGAAATCTAGCACTGACTGTCAGCCCAAAAGCCGTTCCTGGCCTCGGGGGGTGTTCTCAGCCCCGTGCTGCTCTGGCTGTGCTGACCAGTCAGTGGCTGTCCACCAGAGCCATCAAAGGGCTCGGTAGGTCGTGTTTGCTTTTTACTACAAGGTTGCACCTTAATTGTCTGAAGGCAGATGAGGCAGATTCGGTGGCTCCAGCGCTGTGCTGGGCACCTTTCCCCTCCCGGAGCCCCAGGAGCCTGTCCCAGCTGCGCTGGGGCAGCGCCGGGCCCGGGCTGCGCTGCTCGGCTGGGAGGGAGAGCGGCCGCAGGGCTGCACTGCCTCCCGGCGGCTGCTGCCTGCCTTCCCGAGAGCCTTCCTGCCCACGGCAGCCCGTCCTGCGGGGCGAGCTGCAGCGCTGACCCTGCAGCGCCCCTGTGCGGGCCCCCCCTGTGCGGGCCCTGGCAGTGCGGGCACCCCCTGTGCGGGCACCCCTGTGCGGGCACACCTCTGCGGGCCCCCTGTGCGGGCACACCTCTGCGGGCACTCCCTGTGCGGGCCCCCCTGTGCGGGCACCCCCTGTGCGGGCACCCCTGTGCCCTGTGCGGGCACCCCCTGTGCCCTGTGCGGGCACCACCGTCGTGCTGGAGCTGCAGCCGCGGTCCCGGGGCTGTGCTCTCATTTCCCCACACCTTTCCAGCCCCCTGTCCCGTCTCTCCCCCCAGCCCTGCGGGAGCACTGGCCACCGGGGCTGGCTGTCCCCAGCCCGGCACCAGTGTCCCCGGCAGGAGTGGGGCTGTGCCTGCCCCACTGCCCACGGGGGTGCCAGGGCAGACAGGGGTACCCGGGGCCCTGCCAGCCCCCGGTGCCGTTCTCAGCTCCACACCCCAGAGATGTGACCCTTCTCAGCGCGGGTGTGCACAGCCATGCTGTCGCACGGGTCACACGGTGTCTGAGGCGGCCCGGGGTGCCACCGCTGCCAGGAGCAGCCCTGGGCTCAGCCAGGGCCGCAGCAGGGACGTGCCCAGCACACGAGGCAGTGCGGAACACCCCAGGGCAGGCTCAGGTGGCACACTGGGAAGCGATGTCCACGGGCTGCACGGGGCTGTGGGGCAGTGCCCAGCCCTGCAGAGGCCGTGTGGATGTGGCACTTGGGGACATGGGCTGCTGCTGGCCTGGGCAGTGCTGAGGGCATGGCTGGGCCCTGGTCTTGGAGGGGTTTCCCAGCCTGGGTGCTTCTGTGTCTGACAGACAAGGCAAGGGCTGGCAGTGTGTGAGAGCGCAGTCAGTGGAGATGCAGCGGGCTGGAACGGGGTGAAGAGGGTGAAGTTTGTGACTGCTGTCACAAACTGAGGTGAGGTTGTAAGCCTGGATTGCTGTTGCAAACAAGGTGTAAGGTTATACACTCACCTATTTCTCCTTTCCAAACCACAGTTTGAAAACTCAATCTGATGTTGCAACACCCATTTTTCACCGGGCTGGCTTATTGAGGTGGCAGGTCAGTGCCTGAGTCCATGCCACTCTGAGCAAAATCCAGGCAATCCCAGCTCTGATGCTCCATGTCGTGGAGCACAGGGACGCAGGGAATGCTGACTGGGAGCAGGGTGACATGCTGGCTGCTGGTCTTCCCATTGCAGCTTTAACCCTGGCTTTAATCTGCTTAACTTTGCATTCATTTTTTTTCTGAAACATCAGTAGCCTGGACCACATGGAAATGCAGAGGGTGGGAAGCAGGGTGTGCTGCGTGGGTCTTGGTACGTGCAGGAAAAGCAGCAACATGGCATTTTATACTTCTATAACTACAGAATGGTTTGGGTTGGGGGGTGGCTTAAAATTGTCTCATTCCACCCCCATGCCATGGGCGGGGACACCCTCCACTGGACCAGGAGCTCCAAGCTCCATCCAACTTCATTGAATGAAGTAATAAGGAGGGAAATGACCAAACCAAATGTTTGTTTGCTTTAGAAAGCTGTGAGTGGTGGGGAGCACGTGGTGCACAGCAGCCCAGCCGTGGTGGGTGCTGGTGTGGGCTCTGGGGAGCATTGGCAGTGCAGGGCCTGGTGCTGGGGTGAGGCATGAAGGGTAATCACTGTGTGGGATGGGTCTGGGTTTTAACACCCACGTGTTTCACTTGGCACCTCATCCCCTGTCTGAGAGAGGTCTTGTGCTGTCCCTGCTGGTCCCTTTGACTGAAAGGGCTCTAATAAAATTGGCATGTGGGCATTTCCACATTGCAGCTGAAGCTGTGCGGTTCCTTTGGGTAAGTCAGTTCATGATTTCCTTTATCTGGGGGGGCTGTGGGTTCAGGGAGGTTGCTGGGGTGGTTCACTGCAGGGCAGGGGAGTGGCTCTGGCATGAGATGAGACATTGGTCTTTCAAGGTTAAGCACTGTGAGCTCCTGTCCTAAGCCCAGGGTGGCCTCGGGGCAGGAGCAGAGCCCCGGCTGTTGCTGCACAGCCCTGCTTCCATCTGGAGACCAGCACAGAAGGAGAGTGGGAAACCTTCCTTAAGTGCAACAAATTAAAACACCCATTTTGTGGTGGTTCCAAACTGGCCTCATCTTCCTCTGTGCTGTTTGCCTGTGCCAGAGCTGTCCTGGGAGCTCCTGCTGCTCCTGGGGAGGGACAGGCAGGAGAGGGTTTGTCCTGCATTCCCCACGTGCTGTTTGCCTGTGCCAGAGCTGTCCTGGGAGCTCCTGCTGCTCCTGGCAGGAGAGGGTTTGTCCTGCATTCCCTATCTCTCAGCTGTGCCTTATCTTCCCATGCCACCTGAAATCTGCCTTCTTTACCTTCTTACCTCTCAGCCCCTGACCAAAGACTCGAGCTGGGCAAAACAGGAATGGGGTTTGCTGCTCTGTGCCCAGCCCTGTGCGTACACGTGTCACTGCTGGGACCCAGGGCCAGCCCCTCTCACCTGTGCCAGAGTGGCTCCCCTGTCCCCTGCCCAGCAGCTGGCACTCCAGGGCAGGCAGAGTGGCCATGGAGCTGTGTTCTCTCTTGGTTTTGTTGGAGTGGGGTCAAGGGTATTGGGCTTCCAGTGGCTGTTGTGCTGCAGGAGGACTGAGGAGAGAGAGCACGGATGGATTTTTGAAATGCTTGAATAGTTTGGAGGTGCTCAGAACTTAAATGTCTGGAAGTTTGACTAAGGGCCAGCCTTCATCTGTGTTTGGGCAGGTGGCACATGGTTCAGCTTTCAGCCCTCTGTGACATTTCCTGCTCTGCTCCTCCAAAGGGTCCTGCACCCACGGGCTGCTCAGAGCGCGGGGTTGTGCTGGTTTCTGTCGGCAGAACTTTAGCCAAAGAAATCGCCTAAACCTGAAACTGAAAAGATAAACCCGCTGTGTCCCAGGCTCTGCTCGCGTTTCTGCCTCTCAGAGCGGCAGCTCAGCGCCCCGGGATCGCCGACGGGCTGTCTGCACCGGCTGTCACCGTGCGGCGGCCGCGGGGCCGGGCAGGGCCGGGCAGCGGGCTCGGAGGGGGCTCGGTGCGGGATTCAGGGCGGGATTATTCAGTGCAGGAAGGGCAGCGGGGCTCGGTGCGGGATTATTCAGTGCGGGCCGGGCAGCGGGGCTCGGTGCGGGATTATTCAGTGCGGGCCGGGCAGCGGGGCTCGGTGCGGGATTATTCAGTGCGGGCCGGGCAGCGGGGCTCGGTGCGGGACTGTTGCGGGGCTGGCCGGCTCGGCTGCTCCCGGCGGCTGCGCGGGGAATCTGCTGGGTAAGCGTGTTGTTTTGGAAGCTGCACAGTGGAGTAACCTCTGCCCCGGGTGATACCACAAGAAATCACCTCCTGGCCGGGACCCAAGCAAAACACCTGATTAACTTTGCCCTGTGCTGGCTTGCTGGGAGGCGGTGGGAGCTGCTCCAGCAGCGCCAGAGCGGAGCCGGCAAGGATGGGAGGCAGGCTGCTGTGCCTGTGCCTCCTCGCAGCCCTCCTCGGCTACTACATCTACAGCCCGCTGCCCGAGGAGCTGGCCCAGCCCGGCACTGTGATGCTCGTCTCGGCCGCCTTGAGGGCCCTGGGGCACCTGGTGAGGCGCTGGGGCTGGGAGGGCAGGGCAGGGGGGTTCTCGGGGCTCAGGGGCACGGCAGGGTGGGTGTGTGTGTCCCTCGGTGTTACACGGAGCGAGGGGCAGGAGCCGTGGAAATGAAGCGCTGGACTGACCGTGACTGTGATTCAGAGATGTAGGATAGATTGGATCTTGCAGCCCTGAGAAAGGGCCCTCCAGAGTACGAATGAGATGTGGGATGTGACTGTGGGTCGACAAGCACAGACTGGCTTCTCTTGCTCTGCAGTGCTGTGCCTGCTGCTTGAATCATTCCTGGCTCCCCTGTGCCCAGCTTCCCTGGCAGCGCCAGCTGCCCCGGAGGGAGGGTAGAGAGGGTCTCGCATTCTATTGATTTTTGTGGTTTTGTGGAAATCCATTGACAAAATAGGCCTGAAAACCAGAAAAAAACAACATCTCTGTGTGAGCCAGCCCTTGGTGGCAGGGGGTGCCTCTTTAGGGCTGCAGGAGGAGGGAGGGTGAGGAGTTTTTGGTGTTTGTCAGGGACTCTGTGACTGTGGGTCGACAAGCACAGACTGGCTTCTCTTGCTCTGCAGTGCTGTGCCTGCTGCTTGAATCATTCCTGGCTCCCCTGTGCCCAGCTTCCCTGGCAGCGCCAGCTGCCCCGGAGGGAGGGTAGAGAGGGTCTCGCATTCTATTGATTTTTGTGGTTTTGTGGAAATCCATTGACAAAATAGGCCTGAAAACCAGAAAAAAACAACATCTCTGTGTGAGCCAGCCCTTGGTGGCAGGGGGTGCCTCTTTAGGGCTGCAGGAGGAGGGAGGGTGAGGAGTTTTTGGTGTGTGTCAGGGACTCTTGTTTTGATTTCGGGGGTTGAGGTGGTGGAAGATGAGAGTGGTGAGAAAGAAACTGTGGTCAGCAGTGTTGGGGTGCTGCCCTGCTGCTTCCCCTCCCAAATCCCCTGCAGGCAGGAGCCTGCAGGGCGGGCGGGCACGGGCAGCTCATTGCCCGGGCATGCTGGTGCCTGCTCAGTCACACTGTCCCCTCAGCAGGGCACTGCTGGCCCGGGAGGGTGGTGTGATCTCCCTGGAAGGTGGAGCTGTGCTGCTGTCCTGCCTGCCTGGCACAGCGGGGCTGTGGGCAGGCGTTTTGTAGCTGGGCTCCCATCTCGTGTGAAACCATCGTCCCAAGGGATGGGCACAGCCTCCCTGGAGCTGCACTCGTGCAAATTAGAGTGAGGTGGCTCTGAATTGTCCTAAGTGCACCCTGAGTGGCCGTGCAGTTACAGGCAGTGACTCCAGCTCACTTGGGGCAGGGCTGTGTTTCAGGGGCAGCCCTGGTCTAGTCTCCCTGGCTCCCTGATGCTGGTTTGAACAAAGGGAGCAAAGTGCCACCCTCGAGCATTCCTGGGCAGCAGAATCCTCCCCAGGCTCCCAAAAGGGTGTGCCAAGAGCCCCAGGACAGGGCACATCTCCATCCCTCTGTTGTGGTGGGTCCCGGGGAGCCCCCAGCCTGGCAGCCCTGCCGGGTGTGCTCAGAGCCCTGGTGCCCCCTCTGTGCAGCAGGGAGGCTGGGCAGCAGCCCCTGAGAGCAACCCTGCCGCTTGCTGTGGTGCTGGAGCCCCAGATCCCTCAGGTATTTCAGGAAGTGCCCTGTGCCCTTGGTCTGAAACACCTGAAGAAGGTACAAAACACAACAGGGTGTTTTTGCTGCCGCTGTGTGACATCCCCAAAGCTCCCTCCCTCCTCAGCCCAGCACTGAGACCCGGATTTGGGCCCTGCTCAGGAGCTGCCCTGTCGGGCTGATGGGGAGCATTCCCCGAGGGTGCCTCATCCCAGCTGCTGCCCCTCTGGAAACCCGACCTGCTGGAAGCCTGTGGGCATTGTTCCTGCCCCTGCCCGGGCACAGCCAGGCTCCCTTCCCCCTCCCCAGGGTTTGGAGGGTCTGTCCTTGCTGTGGGGACTGGGGAAATTGCTTTCCAAAGCACAGGGATCCCAGCCCCCAAGGTGGCTGTCCTGTTGCTCCATAACACCCAACAATCTCACACTGGGACAATGAGGGGTTTTCAGATGAGGGCACCATTTCCTTTTATTGATAATGGCTGGAAACCGCAGGCAGCAGCCCAGTGGTTTTTTCACAGTGTAAATTGTCCACTTGTGGAAAACAGCTCTGAGAGCACTGGAAACCCTCAGTGCTGGGGCTCAGGGAATCCCTCCCACCACGGAGCTTTCACAAGCTCCTTGGAGTCACAGCAGGACTCACTTTGACTGAGATATTTGTTTTTTCAATATGTTAATCCTTCGGGGAATAACAACAACAGAGACATGTTTGCGTAAACTGTGTCAGTGTGGTGGCTGAACGGCAATCCTGGCACGAGTATGTGTGTTTGTTTGTTTTCATGGAGCTGATGGCAAGGACCTGTGCTTGCCTTTGCAGGGTGCCAGGGCCTGCCCACTCATCTCCATCCCATTTCCAGCACTCTGGGATTGGCAGGGCTCCTCCTGGCACCACCCGCTCCAAGCCCTCAGAGAGAGGTGACTCAAAAATGTGGTGACAATCCCTGTCAAAGACTGCCAGCAAGGCTGAGCTGTGTGCTATTCTAGCTCCTGAAAAATAAGGTTATACCATGGAATCCCAGAATCCCAGACTGGTTTGGGCTGGAATAGATCTTAAATTTAATCTCATTCCACCCTCCTGCCAAGGTCAGGGACACTTTCCACTAGACCAGGTTGCTCAAGACCTGATTATATGTAGATGATGATTAAACAGCTGATTTAAATAAAATTTGAAGGGAAAAAATACACCAAGCAGGGTCAGACTGTATGACTTCCACCATCACAGTCAGAAGGCTAGAGGGTACACCTGTCAGCAGATGGTCAGTCAGTGTGTGTGGGAAGGTTTCACTTTCTTCCTAGGGACAATGAGTCTGGGAAACCAAACTCCAAACGGGTTCTGCACCAGGCTTGGCTATTGTCTTTCTTTTAAATCTCAAACCTGCTCTAAGTTTAATCTGTTTTCATCTTCAGATAACATGTAAGAGCTTGGCTTCATTTCTTCTTGTTTCAGTTGTGGTGTGGTGAGGCTGGGGTGGGAAGAGGATCACGCCCCATTGCCGGGGGTGCTGCTGGAGGAGCCGAGGTGCTGGCAGCAGTGCAGGAGCTGTGGGTGGCTCTGGGTAGCTCTCTGCAGCGTGGTCCCTGGGCTGTCCCCATGCCAGGCTGGTGCCTGCAGCAGTGCAGGAGCTGTGGGTGGCTCTGGGTAGCTCTCTGCAGCGTGGTCCCTGGGCTGTCCCCATGCCAGGCTGGTGCCTGCAGCAGTGCAGGAGCCTTGGGTGGCTCTGGTGGCTCTGGGTGGCTCTGGTGGCTCTCTGTGGCACAATGCCCGTGCTGATGCTGGTGGTCACTGAGCTGACACTGGGCTGTGGAGGTGACCACATGCACACCGAGCCTGGCTCTGAGTGTGGGCAGAAGCAGCAGCCCTGGCTGGGCTCTGGCCTTGCTGGGCAGCTGGTGGCAGTGTGAGCACGAGTGCCCTGGCAGTGCCAAGCCCAGGTGGAGGCACGCTGCTCTGGCCTGTCGGTGTGACTTCCAGAGCAGCCTCACACGTCTGTACAGAGCATCAGACGGCACAGGGGGAATTTAATCTGAGAGCAAATAGGCTGCACTGGAAACAGTTTCCCCTGTCTGTGCGGCAGTCGGAGGCAGCAGACCTGCTGGGGCTGATGCACTACATGGAGGGCTTGAGGCTCTTCACGGCTGTCGAGCTCGTCGCTCCCACGTCCGATGAGAACGTCACCGTGACGGACACGGAGCTCAGCGGCGTCCCCGTCCGCCTGTTCCTGCCCCGGAGGGCGCCCGGCGGGCTCCGGAGGGCCGTGCTCTTCTTCCACGGCGGCGGCTGGTGCCTGGGAGACGCAGGTGAGCCCTGCGGCATCGCTGCCTGCGCCTGTGCCAGGGACCCGGGCAGCTGTCCAGCGCTGCCGCTTGTTCTGTGGGAGCTGCCGCAGCGAGGGGCAGGGGATGGGGTCTCAGCGGCTGAAAGCGGGGGGAGGTTTGGGAAAGTCAGCTGGAAGTGCTGCCAAGAGGAACAGGCAGGTGTGTGTGTGTGTGTGTGTGTCCACTCTCACACGCACTGGGCTCTCCTTCCAGGCATGCACAGCTACGATTTCATGTCACGGCGGACTTCAAACGAGCTAAATGCTGTCGTGGTGTCAGTCAAGTAAGAGAAATTCTCCTTCCAGATGGGATGAGGGTTTGGAGTAAATTAATCTGTTCCAATTAATCTGATTTTCCAATGTTTCTGTATTTGGTCATGTGCTTTCCTGCTGACTTATACACATTTGTGAGCAGAGGCTGCCAGGGTGCCAGTGGAGAATTGTGGTTGGTGGCTGTTTTGGCTTTATGGAGATGGGTGGGTAATGAAGTGGATGCTCTGGGACAGGCAGTTCCCACTCCTCTGGGCACGGAAATAAACATCCCCCAGCAGGGAGATGCGAGCCAGCCCGTCTCTTCATTAACAGCAGGTACTAACCACTTCTCTTGGCTCCACCAGCTACAGGTTGGCCCCTCCGCACCATTTCCCTGCCCAGTTTGACGACGTGTACTCGGTGACCAAGTTCTTCCTCCAGAGCAAGGTCCTGTCCCAGTACGGGGTGGACCCTGCGCGGGTCTGCGTGGCCGGGGACAGCGCCGGGGGCAACCTGGCTGCGGCCGTGGCACAACAGGTGCGGTACAGATGCCTGCTCTGCAGCTCAAAACCAGTGCTTGTGTAGTTCACGACCCCTAAGAAAAGCTGAGCTCGCAGCACACGCTGCTCTGGTGGTCTGTCAGGATGGCACAGCCTGCGGGATTGTCACGGGGCTCTGGGGAAAGCAGCTGTGCCTGAGCCACTCAGTGGCATCGCAGGAGCTTCAGTGCCACCCAGAATCTGTCCCCTAAAAAAGGCTCTCTGCCCTCTAGTCTCTTACAGAACCCTAACCTTAAGCTTATATTGACTGGTTTAGATATGATGTTTGAAAAGGGAATTTTAACTACATGACTCATAAAGATGCAAATAGCAGGGAAAACAAGCAAACAAAAAACCCTCACTAAATATTGCAGTGTCTGATCATACAGTTTGGTGCCTTTTGCACTTCTTCAGCTTTATTAAATAAAGTCAGCACGATGTTGTTGCTCTCTTGAGAAACTGTTTGGGCTGTAATGAAACCCTGGGAATGGTGGTGAATGTGCTGTGGATGCTGAAGGCAGAAAATGAGGGAGAAAATGGAAAATTTATTAGTGAAGAGGGGAAAAGGTTGACATATAAGAAATGTCAAGGTTCAGTTCATCATGTTTTATTTGTTACATCTCTAAAACACATAGAATTACAATTGCTTGAGTTGTAACATCTCAGGGTTAAAAACCAAACAGGTGAACATGCTCTAAATTGTGTGAAAGATAAGGAGACCCAGAAACCTGAAAGTTTTGTGATGTAAGAATTGAAATTTTCAGTAGAAAATCTTCTGTCAATACTTCAGAAAGCATCAAAATTTCAGAAAGAGTATTTCCCAAAAATCATTATTCTTCAATATAAGAAATAAAATGAAATTATATTTGATGTTTGAGAATTTTTATTAGAGTGTGCTGTTGTAGATAACCTGCCTATAGATTCAGAATTTCTTTATCCTGGTTTTATTGATCTTATTTTGCTCATGTTGCAAAACGTGTGTCTTAATTCTTTACCGATCTGTCGGTGAGGGAGAATGGACACCTTTGCTGATTCTTTGCAATGGTTTTTCTACAGCTGTCGGAGGACCCTGAAGTCAAAACCAAGCTGAAAGCTCAAGTTCTGATCTACCCAGCCCTGCAGGCGCTGGACCTGGACCTGCCGTCCTACCGGGACAACGCGCACAAGCCGCTGCTGCCGCGGTCGCTGATGGTCAGGTTCTGGAGCGAGTACTTCACCTCGGACCCCGCGCTCCGGGAGGCCATGGCCGCCAACAGCCACGTGCCGGCCGAGGCCGGCCACCTGCTGCCGTTTGTGAACTGGAGCCGCTGGCTGCCCGCCGAGATGAGCAAGGCTCACGCGTACGCGGGGCCTGTCCCGGGCGGCGCGGAGCTGGCCCGCAAGTACCCCGGGTTCCTGGACCCGCGGGCGGCCCCGCTGCTGGCCAGCGAGGCCCGGCTGCGCCGCCTGCCCCCCGCCTACATCCTGACCTGCGAGCACGACGTGCTGCGCGACGACGGCGCCATGTACGCGGGCCGGCTGCGCGCCGCCGGCGTGCCCGTCACGCACCACCACGCCTCGGACGCCTTCCATGGCGCCATGACCTTCCTGACGTGGCCGCTGGAGCTGGCTGTGGGCCACCGGCTCTTCCGCACCTGCTTGGACTGGCTGAAGGACAACCTGTGAGCGGAACATCAGCCCCTGACGCGTGGCCGGAGCTGCGCTGGATTTCGGCCGTGATTGCCGTCCCCTTGCAACTGCTGCGGTGTTGGGGCTGGAGCGTTTCCCATTTGTCTGGCAGGAAATCAGTCTGATCCCACCCCACGCGTTCCTCCAGTGCTACTGTCTGACCTCAAACCCCCAGACCGCCAGGACTGCCCTGGGGTTCCTCCTCTGGCCCTGCGGCCTCTGGGATTCGGTGCCCTGTCTCTGTTGCTGCTTCTTTCTTCCCATCACATCTTCAGCCCGGGCTGTGTGCCCAAGGGCCAGGTCGCTTTGGGGACATGGGACATGCTCGGTGGCTGCTTTCTTCCTGTCCCTTTGGCTCCGTGGGATGTGGCAGCAGGGCCCCACTGCTGCCAGGGCTGATGGGGTGAAGGGCAGCACCGGGAGGCTGCAGGAGGCTCGGGGCAGCTGCAGGGACCTGCCCATCGCAGGCTGGGCTGGGGCTGCTGTTCCTGCCCTGCCCAGCTTGAGGGAAGCACTTGGAAACCCAGTGGGATGGCTGAAAAATTGTGCAAGTGTTTTGGGCTTTTCTTGTTTGTTTGTTTTGGGGGTTTTGTTTATTTGGGGCTTTTTGTTGTCTTGGGTTTTTTGGTTTGTTTGGTTTGGTTTTTTTAAAGCACGTATCTTGCCCCTACTTGTTTTGTTTATTTGGGGCTTTTTGTTGTCTTGGGTGTTTTGTTTTGTTTTGTTTTAAGCATGTATCTTGCTCCTACTTTCTTTAGTCCTTGCACTAGCAGGAAATAGGAATCAAACCAGCACTGGATATTTACTGGAAAAAGGAAGCTGTGAAGATACCAGCCTTACGACAACACTGCTGCATGATCTGTGCTCTACTTATCTCTAAATTCATGTTCTAGGTGTTCTAATTGTCCTTGAAAATTTTTATCGGATTTCACATATGATTTCTTAAAAGTAAAATTAGCTTAGTAGGTTTATAGGCTTGGAAAAGAAACATCATAATTCAGCTGGCTGTGTGGAACAAATAACCTCTGTGTAAATGTTTTGTGTGTTAAATATAAACCCTAAAACTTTTGACTCAAGCAGGAATACAGGGGTTGGCTGTTGGTTTAAGTAAATCAACCACTGGGCAGGTGCTTCATGTATCCTCCTTTTCTTTTGCATACAAGGTACTGAATCGTCAATAATTCTGGGTTATTTTCCCTGAGTGTGTGCGGCCTGTTCAGATGGAATGTGTACAGGATGATTGCTGTTTTCCATCATTAAACTCGTTTTTGATTCCAGTGCAGCGTCACTGGGCAGGTGCTTCATGTATCCTCCTTTTCTTTTGCATACAAGGTACTGAATCGTCAATAATTCTGGGTTATTTTCCCTGAGTGTGTGCGGCCTGTTCAGATGGAATGTGTACAGGATGATTGCTGTGTTCCATCTTTATTCAGCTGAATATAAACATTAAACTCGTTTTTGATTCCAGTGGAGCGGGTTGTGTCCCTCGGGTGTCCCATCCATCGGGAAGCAGTGGCAGCTGTGCTGACAGCCCCGTCTCAGCCCTGCTGTGCATGGGGTGCTGCTGGGCTGGGGCTGCCCAGGAGGGAAGCAGCAGTGGTTGGGTAGGTCTCCCTTGCACCTTTGCACACCCCGTGGATGCACACCTGTGCTCGTGTGCCCAGTCCCAGTGTTTGGGAGTTGTTCCTGAGGTCTCCCTGCAGCACTGCCAGCACAGCCCATGCTCACCAGACTGGGCTGCTGCCTGCTGGCAGAGGCAGCTCCACTGCCCTTTTATTCCTCCCACATTTGGAATTAATTAACAGCCTCTTAGTGTTCTGAGGAAGTTGGGCTTTGGGGTTTTGCTCAGTAACACCTTTGGTCTGATTTTCTATACAGCTTTTGGGTCACATCCACAAGAATGCTCCCTGGGATGGGCATTTCTGGGTTGTAAATGCTGATGGAATGAGCCCAGCTGGGGTTTCCAGGAAGATAACCTTGCTTAAGAGACTGCTCTGTGAGCAGGGAGGATGGCTGTGGTTTTGATTTGGAGGGGACGTGCCCACACCACATCCCTCAGCAGGCTGCCCTGCTGTGAGCCAGAGTGGCTCTGGGCGTTCTCCTGCCCCGCAGCACTGGGATGTTGCTGACACAGCAGCACTGGGCTCAAGTGTTGATCTCAGCTTTGCCTCCCTTCAGGGCTGCTGGAGGTGCCAGTGCCAGCCCAGCTGGAGCAAGCCTGGGCCATCCTCCCTGTCCACACTGCCACCAGTGCTGTGCTTCCTCCACCGTGGCTCAGGCGTCAGCTGCGTCAGGGACCTGCCTGGCAGGCAGGAGAAAAATTTATGTTCTAAGAAACAATGCCAGACAAAAATTGCCAACCTTCCCTTGTGTGTTTTTATAGGATGCTCTTGGAACCAGAAGTAAATGGCTTTTAAGCACCAGCACCTAAATAAGGGCTCATGATTGATTGGGCTGTATGTTTTTGTTTAGGTTCCTGAAATAGACTTTTGGGTTTGGAAATGCCTGGTGAGGCACAAAATGAGACAGTGAAAGCTGCACTATTGATGTTGCTGGTGGGAGCTGCAGTAAGCAACCCATTTATCCACACCAGAAAACAAGACAAAGCACCACAAGGGAAGGTTTGGTACGTCTCCAAAAGCCTTCCCTTGAAGGGAGGATGGGATTTGGTGGTTGACAGTCAAGGACAAGGCTCAGCCCTGTTTGGAGCCAGCTCTGGGTGCAGAGATCACACCCTCCAAGGATGCCCAAGCTCGGGGAGGCTGCTCACAGACTCTCCTACCACAGGGTGCAGTGGGAGCTGTATGAAGAGAGGGAGGTTCATGCTTGCAGGTGAGCCAAGGAGGAAATGAAGCATCCTCAAAGTATCCCCACCAATCCAGGCTTCCCCATCACCCATTTCTTAAGAATCCTTGACTTTTTGTTGAAGTACCACACTGGTTAAAAAACCAAAAAAATGCCCAACAAACCAGCAGCAAAGCCCCACACTCCAGAAGCTGACAGTACTCTTGGGTTTCTGGTGTTGTGGCAGTGCTGGTTGATTGCTCCTGGTGTGCTCAGCTGGACCCTTGTTCCCCAGCAGGGCTTGGGGAGGGCCCCAGTGCTCAGCCCCCAGGCTCTCGGGCTCCTTCTGGCTCCTCACACCAGGCTGGGCTGGAGCCCCAGAGGGGCCAGCAGCACTCAGCCTGCCGTGCCAGGAGCACCAGGAGCTGTGGGCATGGCCGTGGCAGCACGCCCGGAGTGCCAGGCACCAAATGCTCCAGCAAGCACAGAGCCCACTGCTGGGACCCCAGCCCAGGTGTTTCCTATGGGCAGGGCTGCTGAAAGGCAATGGAATTGCAGGTGCCAGCATGTGTGACTGGGACAGCCTCAAAATAACCAAAGGTGAGAAAGCTGCTTAGAAGTACAACCAACTGAAGCAATGGTCACAGAGCTGTAAAGCAGGGACCAATCTAAACCTACTGAAATGGCATTAAGGGGGATTTCTTGCTCCCTCACCAGTTTTCTGAGGAGTTACTGCAGCAGGAAGGAAGAAATGCTCCATTTCTTCAGCCCTATTTTATCCTTCAGTGCAACAGCAGTTGCCTGAATGAACAAGATATTTAAAAGCTGGTAAATGAGAAGCCAGTGTCGGTTATTAGCCATGGGGGAAATTTTAAATCAGCTTCTGTAATGCCTAAATATGAGCTGATTTATTGGCCTTGTCTACAGAGAAAAGCTACAATAGCTTTTTATATATAGTAAAAGGGTTAATATTTGCTAACTCTGAAGTACATCACAATAAATTGGGGGTGGGGGGAAGGTAGGGAAACTGTGGCTGCCCCATTACCTGGGGATGCTCAAGGCCAGGCTGGATGGGGTGATCTGGTGCAAGTGTCCCTGCCCATGGCAGAGCGGGTGGAATCAGTCACTGCGGGGCTGGGTCACTCTGCATTAGCAGCGTTATTGTGTTTTTATCTTTGCCAATAACTTATATAGCAATGCTGAGCAAAGCGAGCTGTGCAGCAGTGATGTGCTGCTCTGTGCAGAGCCAAGCAGCGAGTGGTGATGGGCTGCTCTGTGCAGGGTGGGTGCTGCTCTGTGCAGTGGTGATGGGCTGCTCTGTGCGGGGTGGGTGCTGCTCTGTGCAGTGGTGATGTGCTGCTCTGTGCAATGGTGATGTGCTGCTCTGTGCGGGGTGAGTGCTGCTCTGTGCAGTGGTGATGTGCTGCTCTGTGCAGTGGTGATGTGCTGCTCTGTGCAGGTGAGTGCTGCTCTGTGCAGTGGTGATGTGCTGCTCTGTGCAGTGGTGATGTGCTGCTCTGTGCAGTGGTGATGTGCTGCTCTGTGCAGGTGAGTGCTGCTCTGTGCAGTGGTGATGTGCTGCTCTGGGCAGGGTGGGTGCTGCCCTTCCCACGGGCGCTGCCCTGCGCAGCCCGTGGCTGTGCCAGGGCACGGGGCCCGAGCACTGGGTGCCCTCTCTCCTCCGACTGGCTTCCCCTGGGTTCCCGGGAAGGGGAAGTGCTGTCCCCATCTCGGCAGCTCGGGCAAACAGATCCCGCCTTCGCCCGGGCTCGTTAATGATTGAATGCTGCGCGGCGGCCCCGGGAGCGCAGAGCTGCGCCGGACCCGAGCGAGGCAGCACCCGGCCCTGGCCATGGTAAGGGCTCAGCGCTGGGCACTCTGCCCTGCCACCCATCTCCGACTGGGCTTCTGACTGCTCTACCTGCTTACCTTAAAATTCACCCATCAGCCTTTTCCTAACACCTTGCTACATTAATGCATCTGTCCATACTGAACTTTCAATCATTATCGCTGCTTTAAGTGCTGATGTCTGTGATGTGCTTTCTAGATTTAGAATCTCACTAAGGAGTTGACTTTCTCCTCAAGAACCGAGCAGACAGGGCTCAGCAGGTGAGGTCTGAGCAGAGCGAGCACTCTGTAGCATTTCTGTCTCCTAGGGACCACAGGGTGATGTGCTTTCTAGATTTAGAATCTCACTAAGGAGTTGACTTTCTCCTCAAAAACCGAGCAGACAGGGCTCAGCAGGTGCAGCAGGTGAGGTCTGAGCAAAGCAAGCACTCTGTAGCATTTCTGTCTCCCAGGGAGCACAGAGTAAGTGTAGAGACCTGATGGAAATAGCTTCATGGAGTTTTTGCTCTGCCTCATGATCTCTCTTCAAAATGAAATACACTGATCTCTGCTTTGAGGGCAGAGACCTGTGAACAAGTTCTTGACATTAAAACACCTTTGGAAATGCTTAACCTTAGCTTGACTTCAGTTTTGATCTATATCCCAGTTTCTGGCATTTGGTTTTCCTGGCTTTCTAGTTGTTTGGTGACACTTTATCCAAGGCTTCACCAAAAGCTGTCTGTGTCCTGCGGCAGGGGCAGGTGGCTTTGCTGAGGAGGGAGAGGAGTAAACACTTGAGATCCTGCTGTATTTCCTTCCCTGTAGCTGAAAGCCTTTTTTAACCAGCCTTTAGAAAGGAGCAAGCTCATGTGTGGTGCAGCTTTGAAGGAAGCTTTGGCAGGAGCACAGGAGATGTGCTCCATCCTCTGTGCAACCCTGGTACCCAGTTCCAGCACAGCACACAAATGCTCGATTAGGGGCTGGGTTAATTTAACAAACACATCTCTGCTGGCTCCCCAGCCAGTTCTGAGCAGCGCTGCTGTGCCCATCCCTCACCAGCCCTGTCAGCAAACCTCTGCTCGGTGACGAGGGAGGACCCACGGGACCAGCATTGGGTAACAGGGGCAGATGACTCCACGAGGCTCTGACAGGGCACCCACGGGCTGGTTTCACTTTCCTGGCCCCTGGCCCTGCCCTGGCTTTGGCCAAGCTGGCACGCTGTGACTGACCCCTTCATTCAGGTGATGCTCCCACTTCAACTTCCTCACACAGGTCTTTGCTCAGGAGAGTTTTCATCTTCTTCTGTAACTCTGATCAGTGTCTGCAAGTACCAGTCCTGTGTGTGAGAGACGTTTGAGGTCACATATCTACTTACCCTGCCAGCTGGAAGGAAAGAGCAGGCTGCATTCACTGATTACAGCAATGACATAACAATAACTGTGCAATGATCTTTTACTTGGCTATGGTTTTTATTTTTTTTCTTTTGATTTTCCAGGCTGTGAATGAGACCAGTGACTATCTTCCAACGAACAGAGTACTGGAAAAGTATTATCTCTCCACCATGTACAGCCTTGAGTTCATTATAGGTGTCATTGGGAACACCATTGTGGTGTTCGGTTACGTTTTCTGCCTGAAAAAATGGAAAAGCGGCAACATCTACCTGTTCAATTTATCCATATCAGATTTGCTGTTTCTGTGCACTCTGCCAATACTGGTGAACAGCTACTCCAAAGATCAGTGGGCAAAGGAGAGCATCCTGTGCCACAGCAACAGATTCCTGCTGCATGCCAACCTGTACAGCAGCATCCTCTTCCTCACCGTTATCAGCGTTGACCGGTACATGCTCATGAGACACCCCTTCAGGGACCACATCCTACAGAAGAGGAGAACAGCTGTTATGGTGTCCGTTGCCATATGGATTGGGGTGATCCTGGAGCTGCTGCCACTGCTGTATTTCCTGGAGCCTCTAACAGCTGCCAATAACTACAAGTGCCTTGATTACGCGAGCTCCGGAGACCCCGAGGCGAACCTGGTCTACAGCATGTTCCTGACTGTCTTTGGCTTCCTCATCCCTCTCCTGACCATGTGCTGCTTCTACGTGAAGATGGTTCGCTTCCTCCAAAACAGGAGCGAGCAGATCCGCTCTGCCCTGACCCTGGAGAAGCCCCTGGCGCTGGTGATCCTCACCGTGGTGATCTTCTCCCTGCTCTTCACTCCCTACCACGTCATGCGCAACGTCCGGATCGCGTCCCGAATACCGGCCTTGAACGTCTCCGAGTGCACGCGGGGCATCATCAGCACCATCTACATCATCACCAGGCCCTTTGCCTTCCTCAATAGTGCCATCAACCCCGTGTTTTATTTCCTGATGGGTGACCACTTCAGGGAGATGCTGATGGCCAAAACAAGGCAGCTCCTGGGCAGGCTGGCAACCACTGGGAAGTGAAGGAGTAAGCAGACCCCTTGTAGTGGGAGAGGTCTGGGAGGAAACTCTCTCAGGGAGAGCATTCAGCAATGTGCCATTTTTTTAGATAACTTTATTTATGCAATAGAATAGGTATGAGCTGGTTGTGTTCCTCTAAATGCACCTGTTACCTTACTGTACAGGAGACTTGTGCTGAGCTGCCTCCAGCAGACAAGGAGGGCTGCTCTGCTGGCTCCCAGCAGGACAGCAGTGGGATACCCTACAGCCCGTTAATACTGTCATCAAAAGGCCATCAAGTGAGCTCTCTGAGGGAAAACACACTGCTCTCAGACAGCTGCTGTGTGAGCGTAACGTGGGCCTGGGCTGGGACAAAACGTGCCTTCATGCGTCACCAGGACAGCCAGGCACGCTCACACGGGCACCCACACAGCCTCTTATCAGGCTATGAGCTACCTGGCTTCAGTAGAACTGTCTGTAAACGCCCGTGGAATCTATAGCCTGAAGCAGAATTTAGACCTCAGAGTTCAAACTTCATTAGCAGTTCTGCTAATGAGCCAGGAGCTAATGAGGAGCCGGTCCCTGCCTGATCCTGCAGGATCGATCAGCAGCACAAGTTACTCTCCAAAGGACTGCCCTGACTTCAAGCAGACAGGGGAAAGATCGATGGAGCACCGAGCTCCCGTGGGCTTGGGCAGGCCCAGGGCTGCAGGGTGTGGGCAGCCCCCTCCCCTGGCTGCACCAGGGCCCAGCCCCAGGGACCCCCGGCACAGGGAACGGGTCAGGCCTCACCCAGCTCACCTGGGCTCTGCCCTCGATGTGTCAGTCACCTGCAATGTGCTCTGCTGGGCTGGTGGCAGCAGCCCCGGAGAATAAACTGCTTAAACAACCAGGAGAAGTCTGCTCTGTGTTGTTTGACTTTATTTGCTGATCTCTGGGGTGTCCACGAAGCCCCAGCAGCTGCCTTGGTCCGTGCCACATGGTCCTGTGCCCTGACACAGTGTTCTCAAAGCAGGGTCTGCTCCCCAGCCCCACACAGCAGCAGCACATCTGTGCCTGCCAGGGAGTGACCCTGTGCTCTTCGCAGAAACGTGGAAGAAACTTACTTGCTTTGGGGTTTTTTAGCACAGAAACAGCCATGCAGAAGCTCAAGGTGCTTTGTCAATTTAGATTTCCTCCTCGAGGCTGGGTTTGCTGGAACAAACAGGATCCAGTGTCACTGCGTGGGTCCTTCTCCCCTGTCCTGCCCAAGAGTCCAGTCCCAGCCCCGAGGCAGGGCTGGAGCCACGGGCACACTGGGTGCCACTGCCCTCTCCAGAGCGGTGCCTGCACAGCACGTGGCATCCCATGCCCTGTGTCGATGGCCAGGAGCTGATTTCTCTTTGTAAACAGTGTGTAGTGACAGTTTTTATGGATTAATATACTCGGTTATTTGTTTTGCTGTATCCATAGAGGTGAGCTGGGTCACCTGCTCCTTGTGAGTGACTGAGTCACCAGGGCTCCTGCCCGAGTGCCCACTGGCATGGCATTACCCACGGTGCTCATCAGCCCCAGACTGTGCCCTTCCTGGCAATATTCACCACAGATCCACCGTCAGGAAGGAGCAAAGGCAGAGCTAGTGCCTGGGACAGAGCTCCCAGCGTTCACCCACCTGCTCCCGTGGCACTGGTGCAGGCCAGGCACCTGGCTGCTGACCGTGACCTGCGCTGCTCACGGCAGGCTCTCCTGTCTGGAGCCCCAGACAGAGCCCAGCACTGCACAGGGACTCACAGACCTGCTGGGCTCTGCTCCTTCCCTCTGGGACAGCCCTGCTCTGTGCCTCTCGTTTGGTGGCAATCTCTAAAGTCTCCATGACTTCCATTTCCTAAACTAAGGAGCGAAACCTCTGATCATTACACAGTTAACTGTGATGCTGCTGGTTTTGCGATTAAAAATGTGATAAAAAAGAGAATATAAACCACTACGTTCAAGCTTCGCCTACGTGTTCCTCTCTGCTTAATTCTTCTACTCCTGAGTAGTACATGGAGGAATTTGTATTAATAAAGCTCCAAAGCACCACCTGGGTCACCTGAGCTGGGCTAAGGTGGGAGCAGGTTCCCCCAGGCAGAGCCACCCCTGGGCTGCAGGCACTGGCACCAGCACAGCTGGGCCGGGCTCGGGTTCTGATTCAGACAGGGGCTTTTTGGTTTCATTTTGTTTTGTCTTCCCTTATTTTGGGTGTGGACTGAAAGTGCCTCCAGAACAGGAACTCAGCTGTGAGTCAGCCTGAAAACAGTCCAAGTATGTTTTAGTGGCGGTGAGTGCCCTAAAAATAGCTGTTCCTGGGAAGGGTGGCGAGGGCAGGGCTGGGGGCTGCCCGGCTCTCCCGGCCCCACGCCGCTTTCCCGGGGCACGGCTGTGCTGTCTCCCCTGCAGGGTGAGCTGCAGGAGCCTGTCTTTGGAGGGAGCTCACAACAGCTCCACACCCACGGGAAAACACACGGGTTTATTTCTTATTCATTCCAAACCCTACCAAACCTCGGTACTCTGCAGCCTGGAATGTGTAAAATGCCCTGCCATGTTTTTCCTGCCATTTAGAGGGAATTTCCCGTGTTTGCCTTTGTTCCCATCACCCTTTGCCCTGTCGCTGCCCAGGCAGTGCTGCTCTGGGGTCTGCTGCTCTGCTCCTTGCCCCAGCTCCCTGCAGCCTCTGTGCCACAGCAGCTGCTGCTCTGCGTTGTTTCAATAGTGATTTCTGAGAACATGCCTCCAGAGGAGCAGGGCTGCCCACACGGGCTGCCAGGGGCCGTGGCACGGCGCAGGCATGCCTCCAGAGGAGCAGGGCTGCCCACACGGCGCAGTGCTGTGTGAGGGGTGGCTGCTGGCTGCCCTGGGCACCTGGGAGGGGCAGAGCTGTCCTGACCATGGCACTGCCACACTGCCAATTCAGAGTTTAACTGCTCATGTTGACAGTAATGAAGATACTAATTCAGCTGACTTCTGCTCGGTTTCAATTTGGTTTTCACTTTCTAAAAATATGTAAGCTAAAAATAGTCTTCCCGGAGCCTGGAGGAGCTGCACCCTCTGGGCAGGCTGTCCTCTGGCGGGTGAGGTGAGGTGACCCCAGCAGCCCCCCGAGGGCTCTGGGCAGCACCCAGTGTGCAGGCACACTCATGGAAACACCTAGAGCTCTACCTGTCTGCTCCAGCAGCTTTTGGATCAGCAGCACCAGGGCCTGGCCGAGCACCTGAGGGCAGAGCACTGCAGGGATCCGGTGCCAGAGCAAGGTGCAAGACTCACTTTCCTTTCAGTTTGCCTTGTCTCATCGAGATTTTGACCCACATAAGTGAAGTGGAACACTTAGCTGCTGCTTTGTTCATTCTTGCACTCTTGCCTCACTTCCTGACACAGCCACAGAAGAGTCAGAGGATGGAAGCTCTCACAAAAAACCGTTCAGATGAAGTAATTAAATTGTTTGATAAATAAAGCAATCCAGCAGTTTGCCTGCTGGCTTTTGAAATAAATCCTGTGCTCTCGGCTGCTCCAAGGCTTGGTCTTAGGAGCTCTCTTTCCTTCCCAGAGGCCTGCTCTGTTGGTGGATGCTGTTCAGGGGCAGACACAGGCACAGGCTCTTGGCCTGATTCCTTCTTTCTGATGGGAAAGCTGGGGGCTGAGCCTGGCACAGCCCAGCTGCCCAAACACCCTGGGGCAAACAGGGAGCTGCTAGCCCCCCCAGCCAGGTGGGCACGGGCTGGGGAGTGTCCTCTGCCCAGGTGAGGGGCCAGGGCAGTGCTGAGGAGCCAGAGGAGGCAATGGATCCCACCTGCCCCAGGAGCTCCATCAGATGGGATGTGGGGCCAAAGGGTTAAATAGGAGCCCTGGTGCTGCTTCCCTGCCTGTATCCTGCAAGGATCCTGCTGTCTGTGTGCTGAGCTGGGGGTGCCAAGGTGCACAAGGAAGGAGCAAGCTGAACAGGTAACAAGGAGGTGACAGTTCTCAAAAGTCTCTTTTATCGCTAAGTAAATTACAACAGAAAAAGCTCCTGCAGAATGTGGCAGTTCTTGGGGAAGCCTGGAGAGTGATGTGCTGGAGAGAGCTTTGTGTGCTTCGTGGTGACGGGCTGTGCTGGGACAGTCAGATGGAATCAGGAGTCTGCAGAGAAATGAAGTGACCCAGCTTGGCTTGTGGGAAATGTGCAGCAGCTGAGGGGAACTGCTCTGTGCTAAGGCAGGAGGGGCTGAAGGGAGGCTCCTGCAGCTTTAGTAACTGAGGCAATGTGCAGAAAACCAATCCTTCGAGCTGGGTACAAGTGAAACTACTCAGCAAATGGAAGCACCAGGAGCAGCTGTAAGCCCAGGCAGCAGCCTGGAGCTGCCCCGGGCTCTGCAGGGATCCAGGGCACTCTGCCTTCAGCTGTGGCAAACGGCTGGGGCTGTGAATACTGCAAGGGGCTCCTCCATCCTTGCAGTGGCAGCTTTAAAACCAACCGGGACTTTGTTTCTTTAGACAGTCCCCTCATCTCCTTTCCCCTGACCAGCCTATGGCAAGGCTCAAAACAAACACGACTTCACCTGCTGGACTTTGTGCTGCTCACATCTACTTTGCCATTGAACAGCTCCTGGCACTCGAGGGCTTTTCCATTCTCCTAAAGAAATACAGCTCCTGGGATGCCTGCTTGTGTTCCCCTGGCAGGTTTACTAGCGGAAATCCTCCTCCTGCAGGAGCACAATGGCTGGGGGCTCTCCAGGGTGAGCAGCAGCCAGGGAAAACAAACATCATCCTGTAGAGCACATTTCTACAGAGGCCCGAGGTTAAAAACCTCATGCTTGAGGTTCAATTGCCATGATTTTATATCTAGCAATACATTTCTGACAGGAGAGGAAGTACTTTATCGCCCTAATGTTTATTTTTCTTTATGGTGTATGGGGATATTCTAGTTTCTTTGTATTTCAACCCAATATTTTTGCAGGGAATGCTTTAGCTATCGACTGCCCTAAGAAATGCTGGCTTCTCTGAGGTTTGTGTCTATAGTTCTGTCACAGAGAAATAAGCTTTCCCTGAAAGCAAATTACTTTCAGTGCCCATTTGTCTTTCAGGGTGTCTATTCTTACTTCCTTTTAATTAGTTGTTGTGCATTTCAGGGCAATCATTACAAAATGGTGGTGCTTCATGCTGCTCACTTTGCTTCACTTAGAGAAGTGTCACAGGATGCTTTAGATGGCTTGATTTCCATAAACTCCCTTGGAATTCAGGCTTTGGTTGTGTTTCAGGACCCTGAGTGCCTGTCCCAGCCCCATCCTGCCTTCCCTCGGGACCAGGGCGCCTCCTTCATCCTCATCCCGTGCGTGGGGCTGGAGCTGATGAGCAGATGCTCTCTCCTCTGCTTTGATTTCTGTTATTTCCTAGAAGGATTTCAGTAGAAACCTCAAAGGATCCCAAAATGACTTTTCCTGTTCCCATCAGAGATTAATTCAGTCTTTGTTTTCTCCTGCCTGCAACACCTTTGGGCAGAGTGTTTGGTGTAACTTGGCAAGGGAAGAAATAACATCAGAATTGACCTTGTACCAAAATAAATAGAGAGGAATTAATGTTTAGTTACAATTATCCTGTTCTCATTAACAGTTCCTCTGCTTACTGTGACATACAAACTTCCAAGGGGTTTGGTGTGACTTTTGCCATATTTATTAAAGCAGTTTTTCCAGACCTGCTGCCTGTGTGAGGAAGAATAAGCCTGCTTACCTCCTAAAATGCTTCTCAGACCACTCCATGTAGTACCCAGATACAAAGATAAAAATAAACAGAGTTAAATGGTTCCTCTTAGCTACTTTATTCCTATATTGAATTATATCAGAGAAATCAGTTTTTCTTAAAGCTGCTGCCTGTCATTGCAGTGATTCAGCCTGTTGCACTGATGTAAGTTTCTCCAACAGTATTTCTTAGCATGACAGACTTGATTTTGATTCCTTGGGCTCCTTAAATCTTATTTTAAAACAAGTTTCTGCTTCATGCCTGTAACGTGCAGACTGTAAATCTGGACTC